CTTTTTAATTCATCAAGTATGTAGATTGTTAGTGATTATTACCAGAAACATTAGATTACTTTTATAGCTGAAAATCAAGCATATTATTTTGCATCAGAGTTGAAACAAATTGCATGTAACAGTGAGAAACCAATAGCTTGGGGCCAGGTATCACCTACTACAAAACTATATAAGTAATTTATAAAGAAGCAGGAAATTTGGTTACTGCATTGCAAAACATGCTTGAACCCAGATGCATGGTGTGCACCAGGGCTTGCTGGTGTGATTGGATGCACCTTCTCTTTCCAACATGGAACACAAACTCAAGGATGTGAATATTTTCTTTGTTAGTCCTTCCCTTTCTCCCTTTCTTTTTCATCCTTCTTTCTCTGTTCTTTCTTTGTCTCATTTTTTGTTTCTTTATTTTTTGTTTTCCCTTTGTGTTCTTCTCATTCTCCTCTCTTCATTTTCCTATAACTTGCATCCTTTTTCCTTTCTGATCTCTGTTTATGGTTTGACCATCTATTACTCACTCTATCTTTGACTCACTCACATCAAGTGAGGCGAAACACAGGAAAAGCACAGAGAAATGCACAAAAACATGATAGTAAAGTTATTGATATGACCTTGTCCTTGGTGATAGCTGGCCCAATTGTACTACCCTGAAGTATCCCTTACACAGCCACATGATGCATCTTCGCTGCATGGAGACTCTCCCAGTGAGGCATCATCAGCACAACTACCACCACCGACTGCCCAGTCACCATCTCCCCACCAAATACCCTCCCCTCAACTCACACTAAAATCCCAAACAACTTCGCCATCACCCCAACCGCTGCCACGCTCCTCGCTCCCGGCACATGAGCATGAGAGGTTCCCCACCCCTGATCCTGAGAGAGAGCTGAGCACCCCTGACACAGATGATGAAGTGGGGCATGACACGCCACTTCCCCCGCACCTCTCTGCTCCCCTCTCTTCCAAGGAAAAATCCACTCCAGAAATTGTACGCTATGCCACGTATTCTAGATGTATTTTGTTGTCTTTCCTGTCTAGTTCTTTTAACTGGTTGCAATCTCATATTAGTTTGGAATAAGTGATTTTAAAAATAATTTTGAATTCTTGTCAGTTACAATATTCCAGAGGATTTCCTGTTATCTTCTTTTCAGTGGTTCTGTGAAACATGTCATGGCTTTTGCTATTGAACTATCTTCTTTACAGATGCTTTGTTGAGATTAGATCAGTTAAGGAAGGGTGTGGTCAATGGAAATAACTTCTTGTAGCTGCTTATAGTATTGTTTTGGAAAATTACTGAGAAATTAATTTATATCAGTACCAAAATATAGTTTTCTTATTTCAGGGGTATTTATATCTATGTCAAATTCCTTTTTTTGTAAGTTATAATGTTCACAACTAGATTTAACCTATTACACATAGCTGTCCTCCTTTAGGTGATGGAGGTTGTAAGAGTAGCAGAACAACTGACATCTCGCCCACCGTCTCAGAACTCAGCAGTTGTGCCAGGGTCTCCGCTGGAACGGAAAACTTCGGCTGATAAGAAAACTACTGTTGTTTTGGCCAAGCACACTCTTGCTCCACAGACTAGTACAGTAAGTACAGCTATTACATTAGCGTTCTGAAGTGTCTTTTGATGTGATTAGTAAGAAGCTCAAGAATGGCATCAGCTATGTGATAGAACAGGCTGTGGCTGCTAAACTCTTGGTTGATAAAAGAAGCATTATTTTATGATAATGTGAGTTGTGAAACTTTTTGTTAATCTGCAAGAAGTGACAGCCAATCTGCATAGTTGATGCCACATTATTGTCTTTTAAACCCTAAGTTTTATATAGCCTCTGATGCTGTGGAATGTACCAGAAACCTTATTACATTTGCTAGTGTTTTCCCTTCTTTTACCCAAAAATTGTACTTGATATAAACCTACAAGGTCACTGCTCTTTTTCTGATTTATAATTCATTATTTATCTTGCTTTGATTTTGAAAGCTCATTCTGATGGTGAGAAGTTTATACAAAAGGGCAGTGACTTTTTAAATGAAAATGCATGAATATCACACACCTGTGGTAAGTGTTATAATCTCCTTACTTAACCTGTCCCTTATTGTCTCTCTTCTACTTAATCACTAACTTTGTTTATAAGTTTGTGAGAGGTACATCTCTGCTAGACAGGAAACTTGGGAAATAGGCCTGTACAACTGAAATTAAACCAGCAATAAGTGGTTCTCAGCTTGTCACTCTGGCATCATAGATCATGCCAGAATAAATGACCATGATTGTACAGAGAAGGTTGTGTTTTTCCTTTTTTCTCTTGAGACAGGCTAAACAAGAAGAAAAGAAAGTGTGTAAAAAGGAAGAAATGTTAGTATATCTTTCCTAAACCAGCCTTTATAGGAAAGGTGGAAAACTATTTTTGATGACATTATTTAAATGAACTTATTTTTCTGCATCATGAAAGATGATCTCTTGAGATTTCCTTTTGAAAACTGAACTCTGAAGTTATGCTCTAGA